ATAGATGTTATGACGTAGGCATCCGCTGTGAAAGGATTTTGATAATTTCCACCCCCAAGGGGGTAAAATAGGGGATGAAAGTTTGTATGAGACTTTGTCAGTTTTAAACCGATCGGGTTGTAATTTGGCATGCAGATAGATGTTATGACGTAAGCATCCGATCTGAAAGGATTTTGATAATTTCCACCCCCAATGGGGGAAAAATAGGGGATGAAAGTTTATATGAGGCTTTGTCAGTTTTAAACCGATCGGGTTGAAATTTGGCATGCAGATAGATATTATGACGTAAGCATCCGCTTTGAAAGGATTTTGATAATTTCCACCCCCAAGTGGGTAAAATAGGGGATGAAAGTTTGTATGAGACATTGTCAGTTTTAAATCGATCGGGTTGAAATTTGGCATGCAGATAGATGTTATGACGTAAGCATCCGCTGTGAAAGGATTTTAATAATTTCCACCACCAAGTGGGTAAAATAGGGGATGAAAGTTTATATGAGCCTTTGTCAGTTTTAAACCGATCAGGTTGAAATTTAGCTTGCAGATAGATGTTATGATGTAAGCATTCGCTTTGAAAGGTTTTGATAATTTCCAGCCCAAGGGGGTAAAATAGGGGATGAAAGTTTGTATGAGACATTGTCAGTTTTAAACCGATCGAGTTGAAATTTGGCATGCAGATAGATGTTATGACGTAGGCATCTGCTGTGAAAGGATTTTGGTAATTTTCACCCCCAAGGGGGTAAAATAGGGGATGAAAGTTTGTATGAGACTTTGTCACTTTTAAACCGATCGGGTTGAAATTTGGCATGCAGATAGATGTTATGACATAGGCATCCGCTTTGAAAGGATTTTGATAATTTCCACCCCCACGGGGGTAAAATAGGGGATGAAAGTTTGTGTAAGGCTTTGTCAGTTTTAAATCGACCGGATTGAAATTTGACATGCAGATAGATGTTATCACATAGGCATTCGCTGTAAAAGGATTTTGATAAATTCCACCCCTAAGGGGATGAAATAGGGAATGAGAGTTTGTATAAATCTTAGCCATTGAATTTAGAATCATTGAATCTTTTTGAATTACATTCGGTAAAACGATGATTTGGGACCTGGGTAACGTTTGATAGTTTTTATCACAGATGTCCCACGGGAGCGGGAACTATGCGTTAATGCCCCAGGACTCTCTAACTCTTAACCACTGAACTTATTTGTATGAGACTTTGTCAGTTTTTAACTGATCGGGTTGAAATTTGGCATGCAGATAGATGTTATGACGTAGGCATCCGCTGTGAAAGGATTTTGATAATTTCCACCCCCAGGGGGGTAAAATAGGGGATGAAAGTTTGTATGAGACTTTGTCAGTTTTAAACCGATCGGGTTGTAATTTGGCATGCAGATAGATGTTATGACGTAAGCATCCGATGTGAAAGGATTTTGATAATTTCCACCCCCAATGGGGGTAAAATAGGGGATGAAAGTTTATATGAGACTTTGTCAGTTTTAAACCGATCGGGTTGAAATTTGGCATGCAGATAGATGTTATGACGTAAGCATCCGCTTTGAAAGGATTTTGATAATTTCCAGCCCCAAGTGGGTAAAATAGGGGATGAAAGTTTGTATGAGACTTTGTCAGTTTTAAACCGATCGGGTTGAAATTTGGCATGCAGATAGATGTTATGACATAGGCATCCGCTTTGAAAGGATTTTGATAATTTCCACCCCCAAGGGGGTAAAATAGGGGATGAAAGTTTGTGTAAGGCTTTGTCAGTTTTAAATCGATCGGATTGAAATTTGACATGCAGATAGATGTTATCACATAGGCATTCGCTGTGAAAGGATTTTGATAAATTCCACCCCTAAGGGGATGAAATAGGGAATGAGAGTTTGTATAAATCTTTTTAGCCATTGAATTTAGAATCATTGAATCTTTTTGAATTACATTCGGTAAAACGATGATTTGGGACCTGGGTAACGTTTGATAGTTTTTATCACAGATGTCCCACGGGAGCGGGAACTATGCGTTAATGCCCCAGGACTCTCTAACTCTTAACCACTGAACTTATTTTAGAGAGATTCGGTACAACAATAGTCGATAGAATAGTTTTATTACTCAAACCTTACGTGATCGGGTACTATAGTGGTAAGATCCCTGCGGGATTATTTATTTATTGAAACTACGATAAATCATTTCAAAATAGGTAAATCTTACTTGGGCACTGAATTGATTCTGGTTAATTCTGTCAGTAGTCATTCATCTACGCGGACGAAGTCGCGGGCAACAGCTAGTATGACTATAATTTCCGTAGTTTTAATTATTTTTGGGTTAAATAAAAAATTACCTATACTAAAAATTATATAAATCGATTCAGGTAACGATTCTGAACAAACTATTTTCAGGTTCGTTGTTTAAGTTATATGTTGTATACTACCTACGTTTAAAAAACCGATTGCAACTGCGCCCCCTCGTTTTTGAAGTCGGTTAATTAATATAGATACTAAAACCTTCGCCTAAGTTTAACAAACACTTTTCTGAATACTGCATAAAAATCAGGTCAGCCGATCGCGAGATAATCGCGCACAAACATACATACGTCGTACAGGTCCAACTGAGAACCTCCTGTTTTCTTTTGAAGTCGGTTAAATACACGAAATGATGATAGATATGTTTTTGTATAATAAGTAGATTACTAAAATAACAAAAATTTCCTTTAAGATTCTTTTTATTTCCTTAAATAAAAACCGTCGGTACAAAGTCTTATAACTACAATAAATAGTTAATTCAATAAATATCACGGAACAGGAATGCTTAAGTACAATATTACGCAGTTACATGGATATTTACATAATACTACATTACCTACAATTACGTGCAAAAAAAATAGCGTACATCTCATTCTATTCACAAAACAAAATGCATTGTATTTTAGTCTCGATGCAATTTGAAACATTATACAATATGAAAATTGATAAATGTATTTTGAATTTTCATTCAATCTTATAGCCCCGTATTCATATGGTAAACATTTGATTAGGAACAGATCATTGTTTCATTGTTGGTGATTGGCGAAAATGATGCTAGCAACTTTACTATGTTTAAATCTATACAGATTGTCCACATGCCAGTCTGCGGTTAAATATTGATCGAGGAGGTAGTGTTATTGTTGCTAAATTGCGGCTGTAGCCAAATGTCATTTAGCGCTTGTCCACATGTAGAATAGAAAACCAAATTCTGGAATTGACGTAAATTTTGACACTCTTGTCAGTATGACACTGTTTCTACTTTTTCTGTAGACAAGCGCTAAAGTGGCGTTTGGCTAAAGGCACTGATGTTTACGCATAGATATATAACATAGATGTCTGACTATTGTCTACGGGTAGAATTTAAGATCCATCTCGACGGTAAATTCATAAACATACTGTTGTTTCTTTTCGTTAGTTCCCGTATCGATAATTTTGATATAACCGACAAATCGTAGGTGCTTCATATCCATAGTCTTATCATATCAGTGTGTTTGCGGTTGTCGGGCGAGAGCTTGTCAACATGACAATCTGCAACACACAGTGTTGCTAGCAACATTGACAGCAATTCCGCAACACGTTGATTTAACTTTGTTGCTAAACAAATGTTTATCATGATTACGGGGCTTTACTTTATGAAATTAACGCTTTTTTCTTCAATAAGCAATACAAAAATGGCAATTTTATATACCTAATATGAAGAATTGATAAATAAAATGTTGTATATATTTTTTTGCACGCCTCTCTACCATCGTTATGTCAGTAGATATAAGTACAAATAGTAATGTTTACTATATTGTTATACATATTAAAAGTGTCTTTCATTAGCTTAAACCTTGAATCTAATTAAGCCAATTTGTCATCTTTAACCTTTATTGCATGACTTAACATTTAGGTTACCTATTTTGTGACAAAAACCTCGTGTGAAATGCTATCATTTCACACGGCTTTATAGACAATTCGTCTATACGAATTAAGTGTATTTTCTAAGTACAATAGAGAAATATACATGACGGATGAATTAGAAATCCGAGATAGACTAAAATTAGCCTTTAAGATTGTCTATAGATTAATACTGATTTTATTAACAACTTATAAGTAACTAACATTGGGATATTTTTATACATTTCCTAATTATGACACATTAAGTGAATATTATATACGTTGTGATGAAGATTAAACGTGATGTATAACTGCCTCGTTGGCCGAGTGGCCAGGCAAAGTATTACTGGGTTATTTAAAAAAATCTCAGTAGTAGCACGGAGTCTAGAATTGTGCCTGGTATATGACAATAGGCTCATCCCCTAGTACATGGGACTCATAACATAAATAGTGAAAAGTGGGTGTTACATTATACAGTGGCTGCTTACCCCGTCGGATAAAAAGCGCGATGCTATGTTTGTTGCAATTACATATATTTTATACTTGCTTACAAAATAACTTCTAAATTATGAACTGTGTTAAATTAATTAAATAATATCGTTTATTTGGTAATTCATATTTGCAATAAATATACAAGTTACTTGCTAATGGAATGTAGGTATATGAAGAAATGGTTTCAATATCGAAATATTCATACTACGAGTACTTTACAGTTCAGATTCATTGTAATCTAGAAGACATGTATTGCGACGAGTTTAGGCGTTAAAATAAGTACCTTTTTTGAATGGTGTATGTTATAAGCGAAGATGCCGCGGAGTAGGTCTTATAGATTTTCAATCTTATAACTTTACAATAAGAATAAAAATCTAAGGAAGAATTAAAGAGAATTAAATTAGTGATAGTAAAAGAATGAAGAACCAGCTCCATACTACACTTTTCGTATCTTCAACTTACCAAAACCACATTAGATTCAATGTCAAGTAAGTTTCGTATAACAATTAGTTTAGTCCCCACTCCCGCCTTCGTTTATAACATAGAACACCTCTCCATTGGACTATTTAGGCCATTTAGAGAAGTCCCCATTGCATTGCGCCATTACTACAGCCCTACTTACAAATCGCAATCCATTTGTCGTCACGACATCTTTCGCAGTCGACCCTGCAGCACCAATGGAAGGTGCAATTACAAGGTTTTATACTAGACTTCCTGATCAAGGCATGGCCTCGTCCGCAACAGAGCAGGTCACAGGATCCCGTCCTTGTCGTCCGACCGATGCGACAGACCCGGCCTGATGTACCAGCTGAGTCTGTTCTAGGGTTCACGTCGCAGAAACTTGGTGATCTAGAAGATAGAAATTCGGTTTGGAGGTGGAAATCTTGAAATGGAACCAAGAAGGTTAGTTCGCAGTTTTGTTTTTCTTAAACAGTAGATTTTATGGTCAAAAAGTGGACATGGTCCCAATGTCTTCAAGAATATTAATATTGTCAAAAAATCTCAGATTACAGCTAAGTTTTAGGTTATGAACCAGAACACTTCTTTGCTGCAGATAAAAAGGACTCGTTTATATAATTCAGTGATTCATATGTAGCGTAAATTACTAAAAACACTGGCTTAAAAACATCATAAAAGACCATTAACAATATTATGAACTTACCTCTCAAAGAACAGCAGGCTGGTCTTCGGAGCAGGACGCGCCTTCCCTCGCCTCTTGCCTCTGGGTCTACCTCTCAGAACAGAGGGACTATTATTTAACTCCTCTTGAGCTACCATTAACGCCTGCGAAAACAAAATCCACATTTTATGATAAACACACAAGAGATCATCACCACAAAAGTTCTTTGGTGTTTTATTAGATTAGATCTGCTATTAAATGTTAATAGTAACAGGGACCAATAGTTAAGAAGATGAATAAAGTAATTTTTGACACCTATTTGTCTTAAGACAATGGAATTGAGTTTTGTTCTACAATGTTCTCCTTTCTAATTATTAACATCTCTACCTTTCTATACTGTCGTTTGATTGTAGATGCTACAGCTCTAAAGTCAGGCGTGGCTCTCCAGCACGTCCTAAGCTGACAGCTACCTGACAACCCATGGCATTTGCATCGCACCTCCATATGGGATGACAGAATCTGAAATTAAGAGATGAATGTGTCATCAAGACAGATATATAATGACTTACTTTTGTTTAATTTGTTTGTCTGGTCATCTATAATAGATTAAAAGACAAAAAATGAGTTAAATAACAATATCTCAACTGCAGCATCATCAAATATTTTCTGCATGAAACTACACAAAGGCATTAAATATTTTTTTAACCTAACCCTAAAAATCAGGAACAGAGGAACAGAAATCGACAAAAACCAAAAACACGCAAGCAGCATTTCATAAATCTTACAAAAACCTGTCCGAATAAAAAGGTAAGAAAGAAATCAATCTCAGCGTCCACATATCATGAGCGAAATTACCCCTTACTCGACACCAGAACAACAGACTATTCGCAACCGAACGTAAAAAAACTTGAACAATAATATGATATGAAGCTGGTCTCACAACGCGTCGAATCGTAAATCCGTTGTCTCCATACGTGACCGCATCGACACTCCACGCTGATTGTGCCACCCACCACTAGCTTAACATTTACATAATTAAACGCCTTACTGCAATCAAACTGACGTCTTAATTTCGCCAGAGCCGCCGGCCGAACAATTTCCTAAATTGAGTCGGAGCAAAAATTCAAATAAATCGGCATCCTTCACGCCCCTTCGAGCCGCGGACCTTAATAGCGTGGTATTAAGAGCGTTCGCGATAGAATTCACCACCCAAGACGTTTGTAATACGTTGTAATGAAGCCGGAATATTAAAAATGGTTCCGAACTGCTTATTATGTTCTCACCTCGACGGGGCGGCTCGTGAAATACGGTCGGCTAATGCGGAGCCCGAGGCCTCTCCGGCCTCTGCCACTACCAATAGTTCCTAATTGTGGCGCTATATGCAACACGGCTCAATTCACTTTTATAGCACTTGATCACGACTTAAAACGTGATGGGGAATCTTAATGTTTGAGTTTTCTGAACCTGTTCTTTAATGCCTAATACAATATTAAAATATCCTTCTAGAATGTTAATACCGCTCTTAAAGATAGACATTTGCATCTGCAAAAAATGTAATTAAAATAAACGCAGCTCTACGAACAATATTTCATTTCAACCCTTACCTAGTATTAATCTAAACGAGATCCATCAGAAATTAAATCAGCAAAGTCGAAGGGAACCATCATGAGAACGACTTTAATCATATGTTTACCCACTTACGTACATGCGTTGGAAATAAATCATTTAATTTAAGTGCTAAAAATAAACAACGGTTTAAGAGAAGTTCACCGTTTTTAATTAAACACTAGAAGCTTCGAAGGACTCAATCATCGGGTACCTATCATCAATCTAAATTACGTTTAAGCACTATACTTGATTTATTTACTTAATGACGTCTGGGCCCTTGAGTGGCTGAGTGCAGACTAAACGCGTTATCATTAAAGTGCTGTTAAAATATTATAGTTTATTTATGTGCTCCCTGTGTTGCGTTGAGAAATGGCTCATTAACGTTTGTTTTGATACATTTGATGTTTAGCTTTGAAATAATAAGTGTATTGGGAATTTTGCGTGCTACCTATTCTGCTTGTGACTTGGTCAACGTAATGTTTTTGTGTAAACCCTTTCGTTCGTGTCAAAACAGATTCGGTGGATTTCGTCTCCGATTTTTTTATTTAAATTGCTTAATTATTTTCGCGAAATGTTTTTAACCATAATTTTATCCAATTCGTTTCAATGGTGTAAGCTCATCGACAAACTTAACATTTCTTTTGATAGAATTTTTATTACAAAAACAAGGTACAATTAGGAGTTCAGAACTGAATTTCTAGTTGAAAGCCAACATTTGATATAAAACAAATGACACATACCTAATACAGATTCCTGTCCCCAAGCAAATCAGCTTATAGATAAACAAACCGCTGGACATTTGGTTAACATTGTGAAATGTGAATCACAACATAATCTTACTGCCGATTAACAGACCAACGCTAATAGGTTTAAGATGACCGTGGTTAATCTGACGGGCAAATTAACCATTAGTTTAACCGCACACGGAGAAGGCGTAGCTACTAACGGTGGTAGGGTTGTCAAAGAAATTAGATGAGGATATAAGCTAAATCTTAACAATGTATTTAAAGTTTAATGATGAGTTTGTTAATAGGCCACTAGCGTGGTGCAAAATTACTAAAAATGATACTAAGAAGGTTTAAAAATAGCTACGTTTTGAATTATGGAAACTGTATTTACAAATCGGTCAGATGTAGGTTATGAAGGTTAATTTGAATGGTCTATTAAGTCAGTTTTGTGAATGGACGGATAGTGGATGTGAATTAAGTAAGAATGATGAGGGAATGTTTAAAAATGGCTACGTTCTGAATTTTATAACCTGATGTTACAGAATCCTATTCTTAAGTAGCTTAAAAATCCTATGAGAAGGTGACATTAGTTATCAGTCAAATATTGAAATATCTTGGGACCGTATAAAGAGAAAAATGTTTTTTTGCATATCACTACTGGTCTATATAGTCTACAATCACACAAACTTTTTACACAAGGAGACAGTATCTTATTTTCTTGATTATTTTTCTTAGATGCAACCCTAATAGAAATGAAGAAGGAATTTTGTTACAGAATGACGTAAACTTGTTTGAAACAGAGGTTGTATTATTTGGTGGTTCACTAGTTCGGCTGTTAACTGAACGCATTACTACAAATGTACCTATATTGATTTCAAATTGAATTTCTATTAAAACAACGACGATGACATGAAAATTCATGTAAATGACAATGTATTACGAATTTACGAGTAACCACTGTGACCAGACGATAAAGGAGAATAGATACATAAACAACGCATTGTGAACTTTAGCAGGGATATGTTTCATAATAATCATAATAACAATAACAGTTAGCTCAAGTCCAAAAAAAAGTATCGTGTACAATTTTTGTCAATTGTCAGTCTCTAAAAATATCCATCAAATTACAGGTTACTTTAGTCAATCCTTAATAACTTAATTATAATGGGAAAATAAAAAAAATAAAATAAAATATCAATTCAAATTCAAACAATGATTACAAAACACGTCAATTCCAATTCATCTTCCTTAATAACATTCCAAAAAAATCGACAAAACAATCTTCAAATCGATATTTCAGTCCTCGAAACAACGAAATATTAACTCTTCGTGTGTATGTATAGATTTTTTATAACATAATTATCACCTCGGCTCTCTAATGTGGTACCTAATTTCTTGTGTGGGTCGAACCGAGATCTTTTATAGATCCCGCTGGGGAGCCTTCAAGACTGACTGTTACACCGTCCTGTATCTATTATAGAGGTATGTGTATGAATATTCGGTTATGGTGCAGATGATTTTGAATAAAAACATGACTTTATACGTATTTTTCCTAGTACAGTTGTCGGTAATTAATAAAGAATTAGATGCATCAATGCGTTGTTAAAATATGTTAAACTTATTCATTCTTTGTTTGCTCGGTTCTCCCACTTCGCATAAACAAATAACATTAATTCAATCGCTTGGCGCATACCGAGTTGCATTGCAATCGAATAGCACTTAATCTAAATTACCAGAACCGATTACCTTCTATGGATTATCTGTAAACGATACAAAGCTTGCAAAGATTAACTCCTATTCATAAATTATGATAATTTTCTGTTCACAATACGAATGCTTTATAAAACAACGATAGATACTTTATTTAAATTGCCTTTCGAACAAGCGTGTGCTAAAAAAGAGAAGCAATTTATCGAGTGGTTTTTGATGATTAATCTTGGCGATTAAAGGTTCCAGGTGGACGATAAAACGGCACCATCTGACGAAACCAAGCCACCTGGTGCGCTACGGTGTGAGGTGTTCCGACTTTATTTTGACATTAATAAAAATATCATCGCAGGGGTTATTATAAGCGAGCGTGTCTAACAGATCTCACTGGGAGGCTGTTAATTATGTGGCCACAAAACAAAATGTCGGTACCGTCCCGAACAATGGTCAAGTGTGGTCGGACCACCGGCTTCGCTCTCACATTAATGGGTCAATTTACCTTCACGGCTTGATGCGTAATATGTAATATTAAATATTTGATGTATATGGATAAAAAATGGGTGAGTTTACTCTGATTGTTGCAATTGACGGGTTTTTCTTTCGATTGCACTGTTTCTAGTTTTTCGTGGGCAGATTTGGTGATGCAAGGGATTCGCACCATGCGATTGATCATCTTCAACGTCTTGTGTTTGTATTTTTTTTGTGGAACGCTGGGTTAATTGTATCATGTGTTAAATGTTGATTTAATATCTTAATCGCTGGGATTTAAATTTTTCCATGTTTTGGTTTCTAGATGACTTCACAAGTTTTTCATTAGGTAGTGGCTAGTTTACTCAGTCCTTTCTTGAGAAGATACTCTATTTATTATTTTAACTCGTCGAGTACCGTATTTATAGACACAATTAAAGAACAATAGGTCGCGGTCACCGGTGACCGCGACCTATTGTTCTTTAATTGTGTCTATTGGTGTTTGACAGTTTAATGCTGTATTATAATTGCTTCGGTAAGTATATATTTTCTATAGTTACCTAATTTCTTTTTTTACCAAAGACATTAAAGTTTTGTAAATTATTAGCATTCGAACTTGTTTAAATAAAATTTTAAAAACATAATTTATAATACATAATGAATTATTTTCCATAAAATTATTATAATGCCCATGAAATCATAATTACATGGAAACTACTTAGTAAACAATGAAATTTTAATTAGAGGAGAACATATAGCGTCTATAAAAATTAATTCTACGGTGTTTAATATTTTAACGACTTGTTGTTGGCAGTATATTTTAGTAATGGCAACATTGTAAGTAGTCGTTTTATTTAAAGATCATCCGATCATATAATCGTAAACGTCAAAGCTCTATGTTTAGTAGTAAATTATTTTTAATTACTACATTAAGTTGTGTGGCTCATCTTGTCTAGGGAAATTGTAATTTTCTTTGTTTATCTTTACTGTACAGCTTCATTGATCGAATTGTTGCTGTAAAGTGCGATTCTTGAGCAAAGAGTTTGAGATTCGACATCCGAATCTATAGTAATTCTTTTCGAACAATTTCGTAGTATGAAGTGGTGTCCGAAATTGAGAAAAATGATTGTTACTTTTATGTGCACCAATGCTCTTTCGGGGATATGGAGTTTCCCTGTTTGTGGGTCAATTGAATCAGTTCTAAAGACATATAAATATTTCTCTGATATGAAAATGTATCTGCCTTGAAAACTTCTGTTTATCAATTATATAGCTCGTGACTACTTTGACAAATAAAGTGTTGTCAAGTTTTTCCCCATCACCTGTTCTACGATATAGGTTACCAGCATTTCATACTTTTTTTCACTCAATGTTAATATTGACAGTTTTTGTACCACACTCAATATTCATGTCTGGGATAACTTCCATAATAGGTAACCTACTTCTTACGTTTCATTGTTCATAAAGATCAGAACTGATTAACAACACCATTCTTTGTCAGCGGGCATAAATAAGAACACTACAACTGTAGATACAGCCTTATTATCTCGCTATAAATGCCACTAGACTCAGGTGGGCCCGAAATAAATTAAATGGCCGTCTCCTCAATAATTAACAACTACAAACGCATTACAAATTAAATAATTTGTACCTAAGCGTCGTGTTTGTATTAAAAAACGATAGTATGAACGTAAATTGTATTAAATCGTAAATCCCCTCAATAAGTAAGCTCCGCTCGTGGTGTGCCGGTCTCATGTCAGATTTGGTTACGGGCATTAATATAATATTATTAACCAAATTATTAATGTCATCGGTCAAATCTAACACCAATCTTGTTGTCTAAAACTTAAGGTAGAGAATCGTGTTAATTGATGACGTTACGTCTGCAAATGTCAGTTTGTCGAGCAGTATTTAACTTTGGTTTGACATGTTTATTATTAGACGGAAGGGGCCTATTAAATTATTTGTAGTAATCCTGCATGGTAGGTCCCGATATTTTGGTTCAACTGTCCGGCACTGTTGTCAGAATGCTTGTAGCATTAGTTGGTGGCCACAAATCAGGGCTTACGGCATGTTTAGGTGTCAGTGAGGAAATTATAATGATACTCTGAAAGGAGATACGATGTATCGGAATGTGTGTAATCTAGACACGACTGCTGCTGCGGATTGAAAAATAAATGAGCGATGGATTCTCTTTTACATTGTCATGTATTAAATATGTAGAAGTCATTGGTAGCAGTTTAAGTATACATTTTTTGGTAAGTCGAACTCTAATACGGGTTTTTTTTAGGTAGAATACGAATCCTGAAATTTGACCTGGATGTTTGATAAACGTGGTTACTAAAAATGTGTGCTATTTATTTGTGAATAAGTTCATTGTTGCTTACTTCCTAGTGAAATAACAGGCCCCTATCATAGAATTATAATAAGAAAAAAATGTTACCGCGAGACTTATTTAGCAACTCGTTTCTTCCACCACTCGAACACATGGTGTAGGTACTATAAAAATAATAAAAAAAAATCGCATTACGTAGGTACCTACGTATGTACTATAATACCGTATATGACAAAGTTTATAGCGCATAAAACGGGGTGTGATCACACAAAACGATCGGCCAATGCAATATAATACCATATTTTATAGGCATGTACCGCCATAACCGGTGACCACCCACGTAGGCGATTTACTGAAGCCACGCCCCTTTTACCTCAATACTATTTTGGAGAAATAACCTCGTGTTGCCTTGACACCTTAGCTCACTAATTTAGACACCTACGATCACATTAAGTGTGATCAGTTTCTATTTGAGTACCTGTATATAAAAAATGAATGATGGGTTTTTGTCGATTAGTTAGTTTTCCTATTTCAGTGAATATTTTGTCAAAGCATTACGAATATTAAATTGCTATTTTACGGCGCTTAGAAAAGATGGCTAGGGACAATGAGTTATCATTTTCAATCACATTAAAAAATACCTGGTGGTGTTACCGTATTATAAAAATATATTCAGCAAACTTTAACTATTAGCCAAATAACTACTACTAATACTAAAGTAATATTAACTAAACCTGGTTTCATTTCAGGATTAATTCGCATTAATTTACTGGTCTGATTGATGCCAATTAAAACATAATTAGAATCCAAACACAAACTACACAATCCTGTAATCGACTAACCGCAACCTTGACACAATAGTAATTCAACTACTCGACTAATAACATCGTCGACATTTCAACCGTTTTCTTAAACGAATGGACCACACACACGAGTCATTATATTATTAAAACCTCACCCATTCAGGGGCCAAATTGACATGAATAAATTGGGTGTTATTTTTACGTGTTTCCCTTATAATCTCGTACACCTACGTAATTTCGTAGTAGGGGTGCTAGTGATGTGTTCGATATTTAATTTTTAGTCGGTTTGAGTTGATATGTTATGTTATTTTTTTATTGTTATTTTTTGACCTGGTGTCGTTGTTGGGATAAAAGATAAAGATTCGTTGTATTACTGCTTATAAAAGTATTTCGATGAGTGTAACACGTCGTTCATGACGATTGCCTTTATTTATTTTTATAGAGGTGTCACTATTAATACTAATCTTGACACCTTGCTAATTCATTTATTTAAAAATTACAAAGCATTTCCTTTGTGATTTTTTAATATCTGTAATAATATGTATCTATCTATTGTGCACTCGTATTGTATAGTATTTCAGTAACCATTTGTCAAAAATAGTTATCATATTGTCAATTTATTTGATCCATGACGAAGATTTGATTAAGCTAACTTAATAGACCGTCGACTAAATTAATCGGTAAGTTGAAATAATCGATTATTCGAATAATAACTTCATCGATATTCCTATTCAAATCGAATTGAAAATTGAAGGTTACCACAGAGGCTAATTTGAGGTTGTCGCGTCACTAAATTACAGTTCGCATTCTTGAGTGTAGTAATGGTCAGTTTATTTCAATAATTGAGATATTTTAAGGGTTATTGAAGTTTTTGGAATGGATAACTGTTTTAATAGACATGGACGTGGATATAAATAACCTTTTATGTCAACTGCCTTATAATTATCAGTAACCGGGGCTCCGGCTCGACGTGCAGGAGAAGGAATGGGGTGGTTTTTAGTCAGTAAGAGTCTTACACTCCCTCCCGCCTCACCCAGGCGGGAGCAGTCATTCGATGATTTTCCCCCCTTAAAAAAATCATCAACAGCCTGTTTTCGTCCACTGCTGGCCCTCCAATGGCACGCCACTGAGCTCGATCTTCAGCTCTACGCATCCAACCACTACCAGCCACTTTACGTATTTATCTTTCTTCACTGCACCTAGCTGGAGGGCGCCCTACGCAACGTTTGCCTAAACGCGGTCTCCACTCCAGAACACGTCTATCCCAACGGTCATCGGTTCTGCGACAAACGTAAACGGCCCCCTGCCGTTACAGCTTGCTAATCCTTTGGGCTACATTGGTAACTTTAGTTCTCTGTCAGATCACCTCGTTATGGATCCTATTCTTCAGAGAGACTCAGATTGAATTATAATAATAAACTGTAATGTATAACATTATCACATAAATATACCCAGTAGGTGTAATTGGTTATAGAAAACAGGCGGAAAGTGTGTGTCAGTTCATATTATGCCTGACTTTACATTTAACCCTTCGGGGCCTTAAAGCCCCAATGTTGTAATATGGATAAACATTATTTTGCCTATCTATACTAAGGCGTAAAAACCAAAGCACTAAGAACAAAATACTTTTTGAGTCAATTATTCGAATTAATTTAATTTTTGAATAGCCTATTGGAATATTTGTCAATAGGCTACGCATTAAACTGAAAATATACTTCTACAATACAAATCCACTACGTTTCGCCTTGTAACTGAGGTTACCGGAGGTCCAATTTCCTCCCAGCCCCCTCCCCAATCCTCAAAATCTTCAAATTCTTAATCCCCAAAAGACCGGTAAGGCAGTTATAATGCCTCTGGTATTCCGTGTGTCCATGGGCAACGCCGATTGCTTACCATCAGGTGATCCGTCTGTTCGTTTCCCGGCTTATCCTATAAAATAACTGTTTTCTTGATCAATAAAACCTACTGTAATTAAATCGCTGTAACTTTGTTCTTTACTAATATCTTATTTGTAATTCACCCTACCACCTAACTTAGCATACATAGCTAGGGTTGTCTAACGAAGCAAATTGAAGTGTCATTGTGACATAGCGGTGTCTTTTGACTTCTCACATTTCTCTCTTGACTATGACATCAAAGTTAATTGGAGAGGCTCATTCTTGCACGCGCTTGTATTTTCTTTTAATATTTATTTAATGTTTTAATGCAGTTGTCTAGTTACTGTTGGTTTAATATGGATCATGTTTATCTGAAGTGTAATAAGAAGTATTTTTGCTACATTTTGTTGGTTCGTGGTATTAGAAATATAATTGAGGAAAATGAAACTTCCATAACAACATCGGAAATATTTGTAAGGTTTTTCATGTATCATTTTAGTGGCTAAAACACTATACGACCTGCTTGGCGAAAAGAAGTTATCGTAGATAGACTTTAGAAAAATCAGAGGCTTACTAACAGCTTGCGTGTTGCAGACCTTTGAATGGTTTGAAAAATTACGGACAGTTTGAGATGAAATGGAACAAATCGTGATCAGACATAACACATAAAATAATACATGTTTTATTAACCTACTGTAAGATCTTAGATACAAAAACTCACCGATCTCCCTGCATTGTTGTTATGGACGTTTATCTTGGACTGTAAGTCGTCCACCTGCTCCCGTACATCAAGGAACTTCTTAGAGAACTCGATGCCATAAGCCAAGTTATGTGAACACCCACTCCACTCCCATTTGTCAACCTTCGCTCTGCCGCGGGGGTCATGTGAGGCCCGATATCCTAAAGGATCGCAGCCGCAAGATATCAAGCGGCCTTGTGCGCAAGCGCGAGCTATGGAGTGCGCCACTCCTGCCGCTGTAAGAGCGTAGAGAAATGATGTCTCACGGAATCCTGTGGATGAAGAAGAGAAAAACAAATTAATTTATTTATGAGATACCATCAATCCTACATTCAATAGTGGAAGTTTATAGAGTGATATACACGTTACTTCATATTTTAGCCAGGTGACAAAACTGTCGCATTGATAATTCAACGACAGTAATTTCAAATTCATGTAGGTACGAACTACAAGCTAAGTTTAGCTCAAACTGATAACAAGTCGTTGGCAAGCCCTAATTTATAACGATTCAATCAGAATTTAGAAATACAAATGTAAATGATTCAGATATCTAAGTGAAGAAACCATTACAAAACTGGATTGTTTCGTAAATGTCAATAAAGTACGGTAAGTTAGGTGGCCACCCAAGCTTAAACCCGATTGCTCTCATTGGCATAAGCAGGATAAGTTAACTAATCCTGTTAAGCAAATCATTGGTACTCGGTGATCATGTAAACCGAGGAAAATGAATAAATATTTGAATATTGAATAGGACTCGCTTATCTTCGGGCTTAAAAGTTATGCGTTCGCGTTTGCAGGGTTAAAAACAGATTGCGAAGATGTTAAGATTCTAGATGTGCTTAGAGTTAATTTATATTTGCTTGGTTGATCGGAGACATGTAGTGTGAAGGAGGCTTAAGAATTAGGTTGCATGTGAGGATAGATCACAGATAGATAAATGCATAGATAAATTTCATGGTGCATTGTGTTAAATGGGAGAAACCGAGAAAACAAAGACATGAGCTTATTTATGTTTATACATAATTTTGGTTCAATAATTAATAAACATTTTATTTTCAAATTGTACCTGAAGTCTTTTTATTTAGGTTTCATATTATCCGATACTTTTTAATTTTCTCTCAAACTTGAGATGCAATGAATAAAAATTTGACTACCCAAATTTTGTCTTTGGATTTCTTAGTCAAACCCAACAATATTGATTTTAGATTTCCATTATCTCATCTAGAGAGTCTGTATCTTGGCTTGAAGATGTATCAGGTTCTTTATTTCCCTTATTCGGTGTGTGGTCGGCTCGTCTCACGCGGAAGGCGTTTGCTGCATTCCTGTATCCACTTACTTGTGCGGAAAAACAGTTCAAAATATTGCGTGGATTTTGCAGTTCAGGATTGCTTCGTTGATTGTGTGGACACAAGTTTGATTACTGGAGAGTACGGTCTGGTGAAGATTTCTGTCGGTCTATTTATTGAGTTTATTGTTTTTTTTTTCAGTATTAACACGGAGTTTGGAATTCTGTCCGGTATTTGGCAACATAGTAACTTATGAATTTTCACCATAATTTTTTCAAAATTTTTTCACTAGAACATTAATATCTTCACACATTTATATTATTCTCAACAACGTTCATCAAAGCCTAAAACAGTAGATATTAGTTTAGTAATACATATTTTTTTGTAAGAGCACCAGTCAGTAAGACCACATTCCCAAATATAGTCAAAATCAAAACCAAAACACCTATCATTTTATCAAGAATATTCGAAAACATTAGTAAGTTACCTAAATAATTTCAAACGCTGTCCATTACCGCTTTAACAGATAACTACTGCATAACCAATAAATCTGAAGCAACAGTGTACGGCGCATTCCGATGATATCGCGATACGGTATTTATCATACATAAAATAGAGGCTTCTACTCCACATTCGATGGAGGTAATATGACCAGAATGATCTAGAATTAAAGCAGGACTGGTTTTATATTTATATAGCATTGGTTTGAATAAATGCTGTTGCATTCACAGCGGTTTTTTTTATTTTTTTTTAAGGGGGGAAAATCATCGAATGACTGCTCCCGCCTGGGTGAGGCGGGAGGGAGTGTCAGACTCTTACTGACTAAAAACCACCCCGTTCCTTCTCCTGCGCGTCGAGCGGGAGCCCCGGTTACCCGTTAGGTTCTCCGCGACTCCGAATCGGCATCGGCCCTATTGGGCTCCATCTGTGGTGGTGTGATGGCTCTTTGAGGCGCGCGCGGAACGCAACGCGCCGTACGCTCGGGTCTGTTTCTGGTCGGACGGGAAGCCACCCATGCTCGCCGTCCGCAGGCCCGCGCGCATTCACAGCGGTAGAAGACAAATCTCTAGTCTAATATTAGGATGACAGCTAAGTAGAAGGAATATAGGTTCTTTTCTCATAGGTGTTGTACCATAATAGTAGCTAATTTTTGGTAAAGATCGGGTAGTTGTGGACTCTGATAAACTTGAACCTTTTAAATGTCCAACCTGTTTACCATGCGTGAAGATTATAGGAAACGGTCTTATGTAAGGGCAAAAGAAAATAGTTCAGGAGTGGATTACTATAACTTATCAATGATGGAATGACGTATGTATGTTGATGATGATATAACTACCTATGAGGTAAAAATTTGATAAAAAGTTTGATCTTTTTAAGATCTTTGCCAGAGTCTGTATTTCTTGAAGGGTATAACCTGAGTGTCTTCAAAGCCCGAGTGAATAGGTTGCTTATGGGTAGCTGTGCTCTATCGTAGGCCACATCGTCGCTTACCACCAGGCGAGATAGTGGTCAAACGTCATTTCCATCTAATATATAATTATGTATAAAAAATAAACTTAATGTATGTATTTATTTTTGAATGCAGAATGTATGTATTTTTTAATATTGTATAGTACTCACACCATATTAATTAATTTATTCCAGATCATAAACGTGAGGACTTGTTATTGGCTCATTGTTACCTACGCCTATTGTTATTTTTATCCATTTTTATAAGCTGTAAGTCTTCCATGAATTATAAATAAATAAATAAATAAATAAATAAATAAATAATCCAATCGGCCATAACAAAATCAATTTATGTTTTTCAGCCTACTCGGTTATTTAACGAGGAACTCGACTAGTTTCAAGCCAAATGCACGAGTAATCCAAAAAACATAATAATTAATTTAGTATGTCACACGAAAAGTCTAACCTAACAAATTCATTCAAACTCACACATTCATTTCAAATAGTGCCTGAGTAACACAGACATATCGTATAGTGTAATATAGTCATTAATAACAGTTTAATTATGAGTTGCTATAACTTTGTAATGTGTAATATATGTCTGGCTATTAATTCCATGCAATTAATAGAACTAAATATATGCCAGAATACGCTTTGAAGTATGAAGTACAACTATATATAGTTGCCAAAGAGAATTATAATTCAGTGACATACTGACGACGAGATGATAAATTCAATTTATACCACCACCTTTCCAATACATATTAAAATGTCTTGGCAGTCTGTCTTTGAACATTTAAATGCGCATTTTCGTGAGCTTATTTAAAATAGTATGACTTTTATAGCGACAAGCTAACTAAAGTAGGTACAGTAACTTTTGTAAGGTAGAATTCTATTACGCTTTTACATATCTTTATATGTATATATACCTAATTCTTCTGTGAGTGTGTAGGTATGTCACTAAACTCCTCTCAAACGACTGGACCGATTTTAATGAAATTTTTTGTGTGTGTTCAAGGGGATCTGGGAATGGTTTAAATTCACAAATCAGCCCGGCAGATGGCGCTGCAGGGCTGAACTAATTTTAAGATTCAAGTGGATATGCAGGACAACGTCTGTCGGGTCCGCTAGTAAACACATAGACTGGAATAGAAAAATATGGCAGGTGTTGCTTGACATATCTCGTCAAAAAGTTACTTGAGTAAATTGTATGCCATAATTAACTAATCTAATATCTTTAAACGAGCAATTCTTATACTTAGGGGCTTCGAGGGCTATAAATCGATCTAGCTAAGATTCATTTCAGAAAATGTAATTTTGTCTGTGTTTTAATTGAATAAAAATCATTATTAGAATACGAAGTTACGTTTCGCAATTAAAAATAAAGTTTAAATAGTTTAATAATAAAAATCTTCCATGTCGGTTTCAGCTACGGTGACCGTTTTATGACTACTGGCGTCTATTATGGGTTCTCATGTGGCTTAGCGGACGCCTTCTACGCAGGACACTCGAGTTCAAACCTCGGCCTCAGGTCTAAGGTTTATATTACACTAGCTTCTGCCCGCGACTTCGTACGCGTAATCCATTTTTTCCCGCCCCCGTTCGTGATTTTCGGTAAAAAGTAAAAATTGGTTAAATAGTATCCTATGTCGATCTCCTGGCTCTAAGCTAACTACCTCCCTACCAATTTTCAGCCAAATCTATTCTGCCGTTCTTGAGTTATAAGTGGTGTAACTAACACGACTTTCTTTTATATATATAGATTTATTGTTAATTTTTGTTCAATTTTTTCTATACTTTTTTTTTCTAAGAATATGAAGTACTAACAAAAACACCGAGCAAGGCTCGCTCATTCAGATATTGTATCTTATGTATGATAGATATAACACAAGAAACCTCATATATCAAAGACAATTAATATAGTCCTGCAAAATACGAACCCATCGTTCCCATACAAAAGAGGAACGCGGAAAGCAACCACCATTTATCTGTTTTATTCCAATAAATTAAATAGTGAATCCGTTCGCGTGATGTCCAGATAAGCTGGTTGGACTGCACAATGTAATCTTTTTACCATAAACAGTATGACGACCGATTTGCATTTGAGTTAGGTCTGTCTTTAAATTAATTGTGCTATTCTTGCTATTTCATTGTGTTAACGTGAATAGCCCTTTGGAGTTTAAGTGCCATCTTTAATAGGCAATTATGGTGGGTCCACCTGCTTTTGTTGCATCGATCTAGGGTTATATCGCCCGTTAATTTTATTCGAGATGAATATTTTGAATGATATTCGTGCTTGTGAATTGTGCGTGCTGAGGTAGAAGTCGACCCTTGCAGGTTCGTTCGTCTAGTTAGCATATTGTTGTACCTTTTGACCCTCGTCGGGGATTGTAGAGGCGCATACAATGTAACACCTACTTTTCCAAGATTTGCTGTAAGTCCTGTTTAATAAGAGGTGATTCTTTTACCAAAAAGAAAATGTAATGTAAAAATAAACAATCAATAAAACCCTTACTGCTTACATAATTGCATCTAAA